TTCTATTATTACTTCTCTCTGGTGGTGTAGTGGGTAAGGTATTTGGCTGCTAACCAGAAGGCTGGCAGTTGAAACCCACCATCTGCTTCATGGGAGGAAGATGAGGCAACTTATTTTCTTTAAGATTTACAGACTTTATGGGGGTCACTAAAGATTTACAGCCCAATGTGGGTCACTATGAGTCAGAATCAACTCAATGGCTGTGGTTTTTTTTTTTTTTTTTTAATAAACAATCATATCATGGACAAATAATACCATATGTAAATAGTGATATATTATTTCCTTTACAATTTTCATTCTCTCTATTACTTTTTCTGGTCTTATGCCATGACTGCGACCACTAGTAAAACAATGAATAGTGAGTGATTGTGAGTACCTTTCTAACGTTTCATGGCTAAGTATAATTTTCATAGAGAATTTTAATAGACACTCTTTAAGAAGTTACCTTACATTTATAGTACGCTGATTTTTTAAAATCACAAATGATGAACTTTTACTAATTCTATGGCATCTAAGCCATGTTGTTGTTATGTGTTGTCGAGTCTGACCCGACTCATAGCGACCCCTTCTTGGGTTGCCGAGGCAGTATCTCTGTGGAAGCAGATTGCCCCATCTTCCTTCCAAGGAGTGGTTGGTGGGTTTGAACCACCAGCCTTATGGTTAGCAGTCAAGTGCCTCAGGCACTATGCTACCAGAGCTCCCATGTTGTTATGTGTTGTCCAGTCGGAACCGACTCATAGCAACCCCTCCTTGGGTTTCCGAGACAGTATCGCTACGGAAGTAGATTGCCCCATCTTCCTTCCAAGGAGTGGCTGGTGGGTTTGAACTGCCAGCCTTCTGGTTAGCAGTGAAGTGCCTTAGACACTACACTAACAGAGCTCCCATAGTAATATAATATTTCTCCTTTACACCACCAATGTGATGTTACATTTATTTACACTTCTCCTAATACTGAACTATCTTTGTAATTCTGAGATAAACATTATTTTTGTTATTTTACATACTGCTGAATACACCTGGCAATACTGTTTATTTTATTTTTAATTGTTGCTTCTGTGTTCATAAGCAAGATTTACCAGGTGCTGTATCAAACCATAAAACCAAATTCATCGAGTAAATTTCAACTCATAGTGATCCTATAATATAGAGTAGAACTACCCCACAGGTTTCTAAAGCTGTAATTGAGGATAAGGTGGACCTGACCCAAGTCACAGTATTTTCAATTGTGTTATATGCATATAAAAGCTGGACAATGAATAAAGAAGACCTAAAAAGAATTGAAGCCTTTGAATTATGGTGTCAGAGAAGAATACTGAATATACCATGGACTGTCAGAAGAACAATTCTGCCTTGGAAGAAGAACAGGCAGAATGCTTCTTAGAAGTGAGGATGGAGAAACTTTATCATCTCAAATATTTTAGGTGTGTTATCAGGAGTGACTAGTCCCTGGAGAAGGACACAATGTTTGGTGAAGAAGAGGTCAGCAAAAAAGAGAAAGACCCTCAATAGGATGAATTGACACAGGGCTGCAACAATGGGCTCAAACATAGTAGTGACTGTGAGGATTGCATAGGATGAGGTAGGGTTTCATCCTGTTGTACATATAGTAGCTAACAGTCAAAACTGACTCAATGGTATTTGACAGCAACAAAAATATTTATGGAAGAAGAATGCCATTACCACTTCCTCTATTTTCTGGACAACTCTAAATTCTCATACTTTGGTCATATGATCTTTCTTGATAGTTGTAAGAATTTCATTATTCATGGAAGAATAATTCTTATAATTTTTATGAACTTTGTGTCAACTTTTTTTCTGGTAAGTTTTATCTGTAGGAATATGCCACTCTTCTTCGCAACTTTTTTTTTTTTTTTTTAGTAGCTTCATGTAAATAGCTAAATCCATTTGTTGTTATCATCCATGTTGTTCATATCTGAATCACGTCCATTTTTCCTGGACCAGCTACACAAATACATTGCTTAACATCCATTCAGGTAATGTCCAACTGTATATACATCTATCGTCCCATAAGGTGATAACAGAGTTCAGAAATCTCAATTGAAGAATGGCACATAGTGGATCTATTTTCTTAAATACTAAGATCTGGAGATCCAATCTGTTGCCCACTAGATCTCAGGATCTGCCTCTGCCCTGGCCCTTGGGTAAGTGGTGGGGGGAGTACCCATTTTTGACTGCCTGTCCTGCGGTGCTCACCTCACCTCAGGTAGGGACCATGCCAATACCATGGAGCCACCAAGGGTGATGCCCTACTGAGGTAGTTGCCCCACTCTGTTTGGGCAACTAGCATGTGGCACCCAGGCCTGAAGTCACAGTTCCTCCCACAGTGGCGGCCACCAAGCAGTCTAGGGTGCAGAAGTGACTGGATAAGGAATAGGAAAGGCAGCCAGCTGGATGGCAAGTATGCACTGCAACAGATGGGGAGGCATGGGCCAGGCATGGCTCACAGAGACCAGGCAGCAACCCTGCAGGACCAGCAATGATAAGAGTCAAAATTTCCGTGCAGTCCCGGCATGGGTCCCAGGCCCAACTAATGACCATCCTGAGCAAATCCCTCATTTAAATAATATGGCATTCACACAACATCCACATCACATAACATTCTGTTTCACAGACTGTATTGTGGACGTTAAGTGATATATACCTGGATTAGCAAGAGACTGCTTGCTATAAGAATACATTTCACATCTCACTTAGTGGTTCTTTTTAATTGGTACAGAAACTGGCTATTTCCTTAAAATATAGCCCACCCATGTAAGCCATGCCTCTTTCTCTTGCAGAACTTAATTCAGTTCAGGTGGGCTTCTACCACTACATATTCATTCCCTGATTTTTTTTTTTACAAGCTACTGCCACCAAGAGACATAATCATTACTTTCCAAAGTAAGCCACTGATTTTAAAGTGTTAACCTTTATCTGTATTTTCTGAGTTTTACCACCTTTGGGTTTCTCAGTACTACTGTCTGAGCATTCTTTTGCCATCTTCCTAGGTAACACTAGGCCCTTAAGCACTCCTTGTTCTTCTCAATGACAAAGCATCCTTCCAAAAGGAAGCTTCATACATTGGTTCTGCTGGTTTTAGCTGTTATTGGAAAAACTGACAGGAGTAAATTTTGGAAGGATGGAGTCTTCTACTTTTTTTTAGAAATTAACTTAGTAGTAGAGTCCTGAAGTTGTTCTTTATCTTGTTCTTAATTTCCAAGAGGAAATGGGAAATTTCAGAATTAAACCAGTTCTCAAAACTTTCTTTGAACGATGCTCCAAAGAAAGACTTTAGTATGAAAGGTGTAATAATGTTGTAAAAGAAGTGGAAGAAGTGTTCTCCTTTATTATTTCCAAAAAGACCTTGACTAAGAGAGGGGTAAGTCAGTCATGAATATCTGTTTAAAAATGATTCAAGGAAGTACTGGTCTGTTGACTTTTTTAAGGATGATCTGGAATTTCTGATTAAACTCATTAAATGTTTACTAGTTTAATATGGCTTCATATTTCTTCCTGAAATAATATTTGTTACTTATATTTTTCAAGAAGCTTGTTCTTCATATGAATATCTTTAAATTATTAACTACAATATTCTTTGAATTTTAAAGACTTTGTTTCTAGAGATAAGTTCATTTTTCATTTTAAACTTTTTGTGATTTTTCTTTTTTTTCTTAATCAATCTAAGTATGAATATTCCATTAATGAATCACAGAGCTTATTTTTTACAGCATTCTGTATAAAAAATTTTGTCCTCTTCTTTTATATTTTATTCTTATATGATCTTGAACACTGAAATCACTCTAGAACTTTCTTGTGTTTTTAACAAATGCATTTATAACAGCATAGTTGCCTAAAAGACTATACACTTTAGCAATATCCCAGAAGTTACAATATGCTCTAATTTTATTGCTGTTTAGCTATCAATGCTTTCTAATTTCCATTGTTTACTTTTTAAAATTTTTAACTCCCTAGTTACCTGAAAGTGCATTTTTTAGTTTAAAACATGGCTTTGTTTTTCATCCATATATTATATTGCTAATTTCTAAATTAATTGTCTTAATAAGATAAAATATAACATGGAACCTTTATTATATTGATTTTTTTTGAAACTTATATAGTTTTTCATTACGATGAATTTCATGATCAGATTTTGTAACTATCCCATATGTACTTGAAAAAATGTACAATCTTTATTTGCTTAGTTTAAGATTTATATATATATATATAAATTATATATATGTATATACTGTATGGGAGCTCTGGTAGCATAGTGGCTAAGACACTTGCCTGCTAACCAGACGGCTGGCGGTTCAAACCCACCAGCCACTCCTCGGAAGGAAGGTTGGGTAATCTTACTTCCGTAGTGATACTGCCTCAGAAACCCAAGGAGGGGTCGCTATGAGTTGGGTTTGACTTGACGGCACATAACAACAACAACATATACTGTATGCATAAATCATATATGTGTATAAATCATATTATATACATATACACATACACACAGACATGCCAACAATTAAAAGATACAGCCTTATGATATTTGTTTACTTAATTTTTTTTTTTTTTTATCTTGTCTTCAAATCAACTACTGGTAGTAATGACTGCTGTTTCCTACAATTTCTACTTGTAATACTCTCAATTTTTGCTTAATACAATTTTCTTTGATGCATACAAGTTAATCATAATACTGCCTTTCTTGGTGTACTTAACCATTACATGGTAACTCTTTCTAGCCACAAAAATATTCTTTTTGTCTTAAATTCTATTTGCCTATCATTAATACGGCTACATCAGACTCTACACAATCAGTGCTATACAGTTTTCAGAAGGGAGTGGCAATCAAGAAATCAAATTGTATCATCTAAATCCTAAAAGTTAATTTTTCCCATTAAGATTTGATTTCCATTATAGCAAAATTCTGACGGATTTTCCTAATATTCTACATGTACTATTATATAGAAAAACATGAGGAAAAAAGTCCAGTATGATAGATAACATACCAGAGACACCATGGCCCAACCAGTCTTGTTATAGATGAATTCCAGATTGTTCCTTCTTAAGTAGAGCAAACCACCAACAAGTGACACTAATAGTGCCAAAGCAATGGTGCCAGAGTAGTTGGGTGGTCTGAAAACCCGAATCTGCAAAACGGAATGAAAAATAATATTAAGTACAATAATGCTTATTTTCTTGATCATTGTCTTAGTTATCTAGTGCTGTGCTATAGAAATAACACAAACTTTTTGTCTTATTTTTCTGCTTTAACAAACAGAAATTTATTTTATCATAATTTAAGAAGCTAGAAGTCTAAATTCAGGGTTCCAGCTCTGGAAGGCTTTCTCTCTCTTTGTCGACTTCCACTGCAAGGCAAGGTCCTTATTCCTTGATAGTTGGTGATATTCAATGTGGCTTGCCATGTGTTTTCCTTCATCTATGTCTCTTTAGCTTGCTTGTTTATGTCTCTTAGATCTCAAAAGAGAATGATTTATGACCCTATACTAATATGTCTCATTAACATAACAAGACAACCCATTCCCAAATGGAATTATAATCACAGGCATAGAGGTTAGGATTCACAACACATATTTTTGAAGGATACAACTCAATCCATAACAATTCTATTCTAGTTCTTGCAATCTTCAACACAAAGAATTAAAAAAACAAGTGTCATCCTCCTTTTCATACCTGGCACTAATACTTCTTTTGCTCTAAGAGTTAAAAATCCTTACAAATGTTTCAAGTGCTACAAAGCTTTATCACATCACGGTTTTTATACACACTACAATATGGATATTTAAACCATTAAGCAAAGTGAAAGAAACCAGCTACAAAAGAACACGTATTATATGATTCCATTCATGTGAAATGTGCAGAATAGGTAAATCTACATAGACAAAAAGTAAATCGGTGGTTGTTTAGAGCTGGAGGCAGGTAAAGGGGAATATTAGGGTGATAGCTAAAGGGCATAAGGTTTCCTTCTAAGGTGATGGTGATATTCTAAAATCTAGTAGGATGATGGTTGTACATATAGGTAAAATACTAAAAAACCATTAAACATACAATGTAAGTGGTGAAATATATAGTATGTATATTTTATCTTAATATATAATTCAGATAAAATTATAGCTGTTAAAAAAGAAAGCATCATGTGTAAACTGATTGCTCTTCATTTAAGATGAATACACTCAAGCATATACAAATCCTACTTATATAGCTCGAGAGCTTTGCTGGCCTAGTGCCCAAGGCTCTGATTGCTAACCAGAAGGCTGGTGGTTTAAACCCACCAGCCACTCCTCAGAAGGAAGGTTGGGCAATCTACTGACGTAGTGACACTGCCTCGGAAACCCAAGGAGGAGTTGCTATGAGTCAGATCCAACTCGAGGGCAGTGCATTGCATTTGCGTACTTATATAGCTCAAGCCAGAGCTACTCTTGTTCACCTATGGAACATGGGATCAACTAGAACAAGGTAGGAGTAAGAGAGGGGTGTAATATTTGTAGTATTTCATATTCAAACTTTTTAAAAAGTAAATCTAATTGGTGTGAACTTACAATTTCTAAAATATGTACAGAACTTGATCTCTAATAAGGTTCCCCACTAATACAAACTAGAGCTCCTGAGAGAAAGAGCAATTTAAGGGCTAGAACAGGGCAGATACAAGATGAGCCTTTACTGCTATGCCAAAAAGTAAATAAAATTCATTAAAAAGTAATAGAAGTATATCACAAGGACAAAGGAGGCAACTGAAGGGGCTCCTACTAATCAAATCTAGGATCATTTCAGCACTAAAATAATTAAATGTAGTAATGAATTACAAACCAATAAAATGATGAGCTTTATGAGTCAATACCTCTGTGTGTGTGTGTGTGTGTGTGTAAGAGAGAGAAAGAAAAAAAAAATAAGGGCTCTTGCTTACAGTAGAATGCTAAGCATGAAACACAAATGTGGAGGGAGTGCTAGAACTGGAATATCATCCATTTTCAACCATCATGGTGAAGACTGGATTTGGTAATCCATCATCAATAGAAGATAAATCTAGGGGAAGATTTTCCTGAGTGGGATATTTGCATCATCTAATGCTGTCTCCACATAAACACTTTGCAAGGAGAAAAAACAACAATTATGCAAAATAGAAGCAGGGGGTAACACCATGAACAGATGGTCAAAATTAACATCACCAACGGGAAGTAATGGACTTCTCCAAATGTTGAGAAGCACAAAGCATGACATATGCAGTATCCTGGCCAAGAATGTGTAAGTGAATCCAATTATGAGTAAATATTATGGAAACCAAATGACAAACATTGTATTTAAAATTGAGAAAATACTATATTCTTAAAAATTTCAGTGTATTTAAAAGACAAAGAAAAGCTATGGAAAAGCTCTTGATGAAAAGAGGCTTTTTAAAAAGACATAACAACTGAATGCAATAACTAATTCTAGATAATCTCTTGAAATGAAAGTGGGAAATGTTATAAAGGATACTATTACGGATTGAATTGTGTTCCTACAAATGTTGAAGTCATAATCACAAGTACCTGTAAATGTGATCTTGTTGGAAAATACAGTCTTTGAACATGTTATCAGTAAGTTGGTTTAGTTAAGACAGTTAGTTATATATATTAAGTCCTAACCCAGTGTGAGTAGTGTCCTAATAAAAGAGAACAGACAGAAAGACCCAGACAAAGGAAGGCAGCCATGATGACTGAATTATACTACATCTACAATCTACAAGGAATCCCAGGTGCCACCAGAAGCTGGGGAAACAAACAGGAACTTTTCCCTGGAGCTTCCAAGAAAACATGGCCCTGCCAACACCCTATGTTACAACTGTGGGGAAATAAATTTCTCTTCTTAAGCCACCCAGCTTGTGTTACTTTGTTACAACAGCTCTAGGAAATGGATATAGTCTTTGGTACTGGAAAGAGGGGTACTGTTGAAATAAATACCTAAGAATATGGAAGTAGCTTTGGAATTGGGTAATGAGTAGAAGCTGGAAGAGTATTCATTTGTTTAACTCTTTATTGTGATTTGGATGAAAGTTTACATAGCAAACTGGTTTTGCATTCAATAATTAACACACATTTTGTTTTGTGACATTATTACAATCCCCACAATGTAACAGCACTCCTTCCACTGTCTCCTTGTATTTCCCTTCACCATAAAGGCTGGAAAAGTTTTGAGGCACTTGATAGTAAAAGCTTACTTTGCCCTGAAAAGACTGTTGGTAGAATTATGGACATTAAAAGTGATTCTAGTGAAAGCTCAAAAAGAAATAAGGAGAGTTGTAGAAAAAGGTTCTTTCGACATGAACAGAATACTGTGGAAGTGGTGTTGTTTTTATATGTTTCTGGTGAGGAGATGGAAATGATGAACATGTTATTGGACACTGAAAGAGAAAGGTGATGTTTGCTATAAAATGGCAAACAACATGGAAGAATTATATTAGAATGTTTTGTGAAAAGGAGAAATTATAAATAATGAACTTGGATATTTTGCTGAAGAGATTTCTAAGTGAACTGTGCAAGATGCAGCTTGTTTTTTCTTTGCTATACAAAATACAAGACGAAAGAGACAAATTAAGAAATTTTAAGCAAAAATGACTAGAATTTGAAGATTTAGAAAATTCTCAGCCTATCCATATTACCAAAATTGAAATAGCACGCTCTGGAAAGAAGATTAAAAGTATGGTCGGACAAGTGTTTGCTAAAGGAATTAAGTATGTGATATATGGATCCAATCAACCATCTCAGCAGAAAGGCTGCTGACTTAAATTAAAGGACACAGAGATGGGATGAAATAAAGTAAGGATGTAAGACTACGGGGATTCTACAGGCAGGAAATGGGTGGTGGCTGTGAATATCTGATGGCTTTCAAGAAAGGGAGGAGTAACCCTGAGAGTGGCCCTGAGATTGCTGGATTTGCTGCTGCCACCAGGCATCTAGAAGGCATGACCCAGGGAGAGGGTTGTCACCTCCTTGGTTGTGGATTATAGGGCCACCTCTATGATTTCAGAGAACAGGGCCTCTACCTTAGTTTCAGAGGGTGGGATCATACTCCTTATGGGAGAGTAGGGTAGCTGCCCTGGTGGGCAAAGAGAGGGGCACCATTTCTCAGAGGCCAAGCAGGTGAACCCAATACCCAGGGGCTGGTGTTGGGGGAAGAATCACCTAGTTTGGAATGGTGTGTGGGGCCGCCCCGAGATGGGGCATAGAGCTGTCACCTAAGGCCTCGGGTGGTAATGCTACCAGGGTAGGTCCAATGGACAGAAAATTATTTTCAAGCTTTGAAATCTAATGAAATTTGTTCTTCCCAGCTCTCTTGGAACCTTCAGGGAGAACATGGTCCTGCCAACATTGTGAAGCCAACTAATTTGTGGTACTTTTTAAAGCAGCCCCAGCAAACTAATACAGTCACTACTGATAGGTGTACTCACAAACTTGGAATATGAATGGTAGCTCAAAAAAAGTATTTCATTAATGTAAACCTGTGAAGCTGATAAGCGTATCATGCTTATGCATTTCTTAGGAAATACAATTCACCTTCAAACAGTTCAAGGAAAAATTGTGAGTGTGTGTCTGTATGGAGAAAGAAAGACAGAGACAGAGAAAAAGATAGATTTTGATTAATTCAGGGAGAGAGAAAATGAGAACGAAAAATGAAACAGTATAAAATTTTTTCAAGAGGTAAATCTGTGTAAAGGATTTATATTGTTGCTATTTGTATTATTTTTATATATGAAACTACTTTTAAGCTTGAAATTATTTCCAAATTATGAATTTAAAGTAAATCTATCAACTAAATGATTAAGTATGATTAGAGAACAACGCATAATACTTTCTCATAAAAATTCAGTATTACTCATAAAGAATTAAGTAGGACTGGTTCAATATTATCCTTAATATCTGGAACCAACTAAACAATACACCGTACAGCAGGTTATTTCCCCAAAGCTTTTAAAAAATGACAAGTTAGGAAAAAATTTTGACACTAAACTAGCAATAAAATATGACATTATTTTGCTTAAAATGATTGTGAAATAAGTGCAACTACACAATCTACACAAATACAACTATATAAGAGAGATCCATCTTCACTGGAAAAATGGGTTTACACCTTGTGGTAAATATTAATGATTCTGTATTATGTATAGAGTAAACATATTTTAAAATAAGTGGTTACAATTGTTCAATGTAGAAAATAACAATGATATTAAGAGGAAACACAACTATAAGACTTCCACCTACAGATGAGCTACCATCAACATTCTGGTTCATTTCTTTCCAGAATGAAGCTCCTGTTACACTATTATATCTATATACTATCATTGAAACTTTAAAATAAAATTTTAGATCATACTATAAGTACTATTTTTCTAACCTTGTTTTATACTTGTTATACTTTGACCTTCATTCTTTGTTAAATATACTTGCAAATCATTGTTTGACACAATGCATTTAACTATTTTTAGACATTTGATTTGCTTCCAACTTTTGCCATTAAAGTAAATGTTGTTTAAAAAAAAAAAAAAAAAAATCTCTATGACTAAGGATTTAATCATCCCTGATTATACCCTTAGGTTAAATTCTGAGAAATGCAACTGTTAAGTCAAACTGCATAAAATAAAGACATATGACATATATTATTGAAATTGTTATACCAATTTATATAGCCCTAAAGGCAGAATATGTGAATGTGTATTTTCTCAAGCAGTTCATGAAAAGTAGCTACTTTTGTCTAGAAGATAAAGATTAAACATCTAATTTTTTATTAGAATGCTTTGATTACTAACACCATCAAACAATTTCAATTTATTTACTAGCTTCTGAAATTACTTTTTCCATAAATCATATACTTTTTAATGGTTTTCAGAGTATCAATGAACTCTTATTATAAAAGCCATTTGCTTACATCTAACTCAGTCAAATTTCATCTAACATCTTACAGCTATCAAATACAGTGTTCTCTAAACAAGAAGAAATTGTTCACAAATAAAAAATACATATATACCTGTGGTCTTATTTCAATGTTCTAACAAACCAAGCTAATCAACCTATTATTAAAACATACATGAACATCTGTTCTGTCAGCAATCCATTTTGCTAGTTGTTCAGCTGCAAATCCAATTCTTTGAAGGTCAAAAGTGTCAGCTCTTTTGGGTCTGCCTTTTGGAGGAAAATGCATGAATGTAGGAGCAGAGTTCATATTGAGCTGTAAAACATGAGATTAAAAAGTACTAAATATAATATCATTACAACATTGTATACATAATATTAGTCTAACATGTTATATTATGTCTTCATGAATTTTGGAAAGATAGCATTTATTATGAAAATCCAAGGGGCTTTCCAGAGTGTCATTATTGTTTTTATTCATCTGTGGTGGCATAGTGCCTAAGGCATTTGACTGCTAACCAGAAGGCTGGCAGTTCAAACCCACCAGGCACTCCTCAGTAGGAAGATTGGGCAATCTACTTCCCTAGAGATACTGCCTCAGAAATCCAAGGTGGAGTCACTATGACTTGATAGAAGTGAGCCTGTTTTTTTTGTGTTTGGTAATATAGTATCTCTTGAATAAAAAGAACTTGTAGATTTGGCTAAGTTCTCCGAACTGCTTTAATATGCATTGTTTGTATTTCAGATGTGGCCTTTATATTTCATCAGCTACTTCATTCTTTTTCTTCCTAGAATTTTGTAATAAGAACAAAGGAGGTAAAAGTGCAAAATACAAACACCGTAAAATTTGCCAGTCCATTGGCCATTTCAGTTTTTAAGCAGTAAAATATTAGTATTTTGATGTAAATAAAATAACTATATTATGGAATTTATTTTATATATACAAGAAGACTGAATATCCTATTAAAAATTAAATATTTTTTTTTATTTTTTTAAAAATGACAGTTTTCGTATGATATAACTATAAACATATTTAACAGAGATGGGAGGAGAAATACTTATGATAATCTTTTTCTGCTCAAATCATCAATTATTTCTACTGTTTAAAATTGCCATATTTGTGAATTAATTTTTTTCTACAGATTAATTTCCATTTGATGTTTATTAATTGAATGGTGCTTATTAACAATATAACATATAAAAACATGTATTAGGTGAATATGCACTGTCAGGCATGCTGCCAAATAAATAGAAAGAGAGATAAAATTACTGCTGCTTAGATACAAAAATCTATTATGAAAAATGTCTTTAAATGAAAGGCCAGGAGATTATTAATCCTTGACTTTCAATAGTTCATCATTTCCCAATAATGAGAATGAAAAGCAAAATCAAATAACACATATGTAAGATCAAAAATGACATAAAAGTAAGACTACAGCAGTAAAAGCTAAACTAATGAAGTATTACAGTCAAGATCAAACAGCTACTGCTCTACAAGTGAACTCTGACTATAATGGTTATATTTGTATAAATAAATAATATAATAAATAATTTAATAAAGCTTCACACAGCTTAGCACAAAAGAGTTGACTACACAAAAGAAATGTGTCTCTATCAAGAATTTTTCATTTTTTAGTTTTGCAAATATAATCTATTATTCTATAATACTCTTTAAACAGTACAAGTATTAGCTCAATAGTGGGTCAGTGTTCAAGCAACTATTCTCTCCAAGAGAATGTCTACTTTATCTTTCCCCCCTATTTATTTTGGTCTTCAATCTTTTACTGTAACATAAGTAACAGACTTAACCAACTTCACTAAAAGTAAAGTAGCTGTGGGGAGAAAAAAGAAGTCCACCAGTACTATTGCTTATGTTACATACTACTACTACCAACAATAATAAATAAAGGTGCCCTGGTGGCAAAATAAGGAGCTCTGGTGGGTAGTGGTTAAGGCATTTGGCTGCTAACCAACAGGTTGGTGTTCAAACCCACCAGCTGCTCTGCCAAAGAAACATGAGGCAGTCTGCTTCTGTAAAGATTTATAGTCTTGGAAACCCACTAGGGTTATTAGGAGTCAAAATTGACTCAATGGCAGTGTATTTGGTTTTTCTTGGTGGAAAAATGGTTGAGTGCTTGGCTGTAAACTTAAAAGTTGGCAGCCCAAATCCACCATACGCTCCATGGGAATAAGATGCTGCAGTCTGCTTCCATAAAGATTACAGCCAAGAAAATCCTATGGGGCAGTTATACTCTGCCACATGGAGTCATTATGAGTCAAAATTAACTCCACAGCACCTAATAACAACAAAATTGAACAGAGAAACCCTGGTTGGGGCAAATATTAAGCATTCAACCATTAGCTGAAAGGTTGGCAATTTGGATGCACCTAGAGTTGCCTTGGAAGAAAGGCCTGGCAATCTACCTCTGAAAAATCAGCCATTGAAAACATTATGAAGCACACTTCTATTCTGACACAAATGTTGCCATGAGTTAGAATCCACTCAGTGGCAATTAACAACAACAGTAAAAAATAAGTATTTAATCAATTTTTATGTGTCAGGTACACAACTGAGCATTTTAAATATATATGTATCTTTTAAGGAGCTCTGGTGGTATAGTGGTTGAGCCATTTGGCTTGCTAATGAAAATGTCAGTGGTTCAAACCCACCATCTGCTCTGTAGAAGAAAAATGGGCAATATGCTTCTGTAAAGATTTACAGCCTTGGAAAACCAATGTGGGGGTTTCTATGAGTTGGAATCTACTCAATGGCAGTGAGTTTGGTTTGGTTTTTGGAGTTCTCTTTTAATGGTCATACGAGAAAGGCACTATTATTTTCCCTCACTTACATGTGAGATGATAAAGGTATAAAAAGATTAAGCAATTTATGAAGGTCACACATCTGAGATAAAGATGGAAAGTAAACTAGAGTCTTTTGACTCTAGACACTTTATTACTATAATATCATAATGTGTTTCTGAACACTACCTCTTTAAGAAAAAATTAGTAATATTTTTGTCATAAGAAATTTTTTATGAAATATAGAACAAATTTATTAGAAGACCAAATTATAAAAAACAAGTTGTAACATGGTACAAAAAGCATACAGACTACCAATGTATGTCTCTGTACAATAGAAATCTATCTATCTTACTCTTTTTCCCAGAAGGAAGCTCGCATATTATGGACATTTAGTAAATGCTGGTCACAACCAACGAGACATACAGTTAATAGTTCCTTTCTGCCCTGTGCTTTCCCCATTCCAGATGTTGATCATGTATTTAGCTGATGTGTGCATGAAAAAGAGCTACATTCAACATGTAAATACAAGATTACAAGGCAGCAAATTCATATTAAAGCTGAACATCTTATAATTTTAAAGTCTAAAAAAATTACTATTCAAAGGCTTCCTCTTAATTAAACTGCACAAATTCTCCCAAGAGGATTCAATCCAGGGCTATAACAAATCTTATTCCTAGTCCAGAGCTCCCTCCAACACATCATATTCACTGACACACTGGCCTATGTCAGAGATTTAGCATCATTCACCAGAGACTCAGATATAATGTTACTTTCCCAACAAGTCTCTAATAAAACAGGGATTACTAATTTTCTTCACTTGTTACTAATTATTATATAGAGACACCACATTATTGCTTACAGTGTTTTAAAACATAACTTCAACAAAATGTGTTCCATAGTAGAAAAAGAAAGCATAAGCACTTAAAAATGTTGTTAATTGTTTAACTAAACCAAAATAGGTATTTTCCTCTTTATATAGATTATAATTCCCTATAAAAATAAATAACTGCTATAACTTGTATGCATATCTGCGTGGTGAGATGAAACCTTATTGCTAAGCCTGGGACTAAGTTTTAGAAAAGAAAAAAAAAAAAAAAAAAAGTTCTAAATTTAGAATTCTGCTGTATCAAAATTAACCTGAGGAAGTTTTTGATTAAAAACAATCTTGAACTCAACTCTCTTATCTGTGCCAACAAAACTTTTTTCTTAAAATTTTATGTCTAAAGTAAATTAAAAGATTCGATGATTTTATCTAACCATGTAGTAAAATGGTTATATATTGGAACCCTACAGTCAGTAATTAGCCCAAAATCCAGAAGAAAAGCCAAACCCTCTGCTGTATAGTCAATTCTGACTCATACTGACCATACAGGATGGAGTAGAACTGTCACATAGGCAGTAATCTTCACAGAAACAAATTGCCATGTTTTTCTCCCATAAAGGGGCTGCTGGGTTTGCACTGCTGAACTTTTGGTTGGCAGCTAAATGCTTTAACCACTGCACCACCAGAGCTCCTAATCAGTCCAATAGGATTATTATGTCTCAGAAAGTTTTATTTTTTTAATCTGAATTATCTGCCAAAATTTAAAAAAAGAAATAATTCAATAAAAATAGACACATGTGTCTTTTAGTGAGTACAGATTTACTACATGTGATATCCATTCCTTCAAAAGACCTAATAGTCAGCTGGATTTCTACTGATACCAGGCATGCCCTCTCCAGTTTGCAACCCACCTCACACCATACTGTTTACTCAACAATGAGACCAAAGGTCAGCTGCCATGGTGCTTTGATGATTTTATTCCTTACAGCAGTTAGGAGAAAAGTCAATTCTGAATGTTTCTATCAAATATGTTTTTAAAAAGCCAAGAAAGATTTTGTTTTAATAAAAATGGGAGAAACCATATTTATTTGTGCAAATAAAGAACATACTAAGGTACTGGTATATAAACAGCTGGGATGAGCAGAAGGTGGGTGTTTGAGTGCGTGGATGCACCCTAGAGGCAAGACCACAGTAAGCCAGCACAGGACCAGCTGAAGGTGGGTGTTTGTGTGCGTGGAGGCACCCCGGGAGCAAGGGCACAGTAAGCCAACAAGGGACCAGTGGAAGGCGGTGTTTGCGTACATGGAGGTGCCCTGGGGGCAAGACTGCAGTAGGCTAGCCAGGAGCAATGGAAGACAAGTGTTCATGTGCATGGAGTACCCCAAGGGTAGTCCGGGTAAGTGAGCAGGGCACAAAAACCAGGAAATGAGCGGAAATGTTTGGAACAGCTAAAGGAGATAAACCTGTCTGTCATTTGTTATACCGTGGCTTAAGTGTTGTTTTGAGGCTGAAGGTTATGCCACCAATGTTTCAAATGCCAGCAGGGTTACCCATGGTAGCCAGCTTTCAGCTGAACTCCCATCTAAGACAGACTCGGAAGAAGGAAGAGACCATCTACTTCTCAAAACTGGCCAGTGAAAACTTTATGAATAGCAGTGAAACACCATCTAATATATTACTGGAAAACTTTA